TAAAATTAACAGTTATTTCTTTCAGTGTCACTTTAGAAGATTGATCCATTATGCTTACTAGGACTTTGTTGTAAATGATTATTGGTTAATAGAAAAAAATCCTTAATATCCCCCTATAATCAAATTTCGTTGTAGAAACCCATCGTCTCAAGCCACGGTCCACGATCCGAAGTCTGTGTATAACTCTCTCCTTCCCATGGCTGCTTGCATGATCTCAAAAAGTGTCAATCTTGAATATTTACACCTCTCTATTTTGGCATCATATTCAGTCAATGACAAGTTTTGTTTCCATCGCAATTGGAATAAACAATTTACATCAGCAGTATTCTACACTGCGATTGAGTATTGAAAGGTTAATTGCCATCAAAGTTCATTATCTGACTATGATTTACTCACATTGGTCAATACTTTAATTAATGAGCTACGAAATACTCTCCTCTCAATCAACCATGGCCAGAATGGGAGAGGATCATACATTTTGGGTGTGATTTGCGACGATGGTAATACCCTACATTTACTTTTGAGATTAGTATGACATGTTATTTAAGTCAAAAAATGAAATCAATTTACCGTATTAGTGGAAATTTTAGGGAGACACAAATTTAGCGATTTCTACTCAAAATCTGGTATGGTATTTTATTTTTAGCGAGAAGAAATTTTAGCGATTTTAAAATGCTAACTAAAGAAGCTATTACAAATAATACACAATTACATGTAATTATTAACGATTGTCGATATTCAATTTTAGCAATGTCAGCACCCTCGCTAATAATGCCAAAATTAAATCCTCGCTAAAAATTCTATTTAGTACCATATTTCATTATTGACCTCATTTACATGTATTGCTGAAAATGCACCAAATATTATAAGTGTAGTGAACATATGTTATCATCTCTGAAAGTATTTTGGATCAGATTTTGTATTTCAGAGTTAATGATTTTGATCCTACACTATCTGACTGTCACTGCTTATTACATTGGGAATTGTCTGCCAATTTTACAAATCTAGTAGAAAATAATCAAGATATGTGTAAGATGCAATTTATTAATCCACGTTTTATATGGTCAGAAGACTCAGCATTTAAATTTCAAGAAGCTTTAACCTCTGTAGACATACAGAAAGAACTGTTTGATTTGGCAAATTTGGAGGTTCAGAACTCACTATCCTCTGTAAATACTGCTGTAGACAAACTCCAGACTATTATTATTAATGCTGCCACTAGATCCTTGAAAAGAAATAAAACTAAAGCAGAAAAAAAGAAAACTAAAGCAGCACAAAGAAGCAAAAATAAGAAGTGGTTTGATGGAGACTTAAAACACATAAAAAATAAATTAATTAATATTGCTAGAGTTATGTCTCAATTCCCAAAAGATCCAATTATTAGAGGCAGATTTTTTAAACTCAGAAAACAGTATGCGAAATTATGTAAACACAAACGAATACAATATCAGCAGTCCCTCATTGCAAGGCTTGATGCTTTAAATGAGGATAATCCCAAACTTTACTGGAACCTTGTGAACCATCTTCTTGACAAAAATAATGCAGTAGATACAACTATTCATCCTGATAGATGGCTGGATCATTTTACAAAATTAAATGAAGTGAGAGAGTCATATTTTGACAGGCTAAATGAATTGAAAACGAAAATTTCTCAAATGGAAAATAAACAATGTTTTAACGAATTAGACTATACAATAAGTTCTTCAGAAATAGCAGAGGCAATTTCTTGTATTAAATATGATAAATCTCCTGGACTAGACAACATTTCCAATCATATGATTAAATATGGTCACAATGCTCTACTACCATCTTTAAGAAATATTTTCAATGCTTGCTTATCACATGGACTTTATCCCAAATCATGGGCCGAGGGATACATTACTGTTCTGCATAAGTCAGGGGATATCAATAATCCAAACAATTATCGTGGCATTACCATCACTAGTGCAATTGGTAAATTATTTAACAGTATTTTGAATAAAAGACTTGATAAATATCTAGAAAAAAACAAAATTATTAATGATTGTCAAATTGGTTTCTGTAAAAAGGCAAGAACATCTGATCACATGTTTATTTTAAGAACTTTATTTGAAACATATTGCTCTCAGAAAGAAGGACGACTCTTATGCATGTTTCATTGACTTTAGAAAAGCATTTGACACAGTAATACATGAAGGCATCAAAATTAAACTGCTAGAAATTGGGGTTGGATCTAAATTTTACAATGTAATTAAGAGTATGTACAATTGTAGTAGATCATGCATTAAGTTAAACAATCAAATCACTGAGACTTTCCCTATTAAGTTAGGAGTTAAACAGGGAGACAATTTAAGTCCAAATTTATTCAAAATTTTTATCAATAATCTTCCAGAATACTTCAATAATATAACTGATGATAATATTCAGTTACACGATAAATTACTTCATTGTCTAATGTATGCAGATGATATAGTTTTATTGTCCAAGTCATCAAAAGGACTTCAACAAAAACTTAATTGTCTTGATAAGTTCTGTACTGACTGGTGCCTTGATGTAAATGTTTCAAAAACCAAAGTATTAATCTTTAACAAAGCAGGTAGACACTTGAAAGAAAACTTCACACTAAACAAAGAACCTCTTGAATGTATCACTTCTTATAGATACTTGGGCATATAATTCACTGCATCTGGAAGTTTTACACTTGCTTAGGATGAACTTTACAAAAAAAGCTTCAAAGGCACTTTTTAAATTACAAAAAAAATTCCTATCATTGAACCCTAAAATAAACACAGCTTTACATGTATATGATCATACAATAAAACCCATATTACTTTACGGTAGTGAAATTTGGGGGGCCTTTAACACTACTACATCACGATTTAGAAATGGACCCATTGCACTGGATGAATTATTTTCTAAGTCACTTTGTGAGAAATTACATTACAAGTTTTGTAGATTTTTATTAAGTGTAAATAACAAAAGTACAAAATTTGCAGTCCTTTCAGAACTAGGTAGACACCCTATGAGTTTCAGTATTGTTCAGAATATATTGAAATACTGGCATAGGTTAGAGAATTTGGATGACACATATCCTCTATTAAAAGCTGCGTATACTACCTCGGTATCCAATTTCAATAAAAACAAATTATCATGGTTTGGTTCTATTGATATGTTTAAACAACTTCTTCCTCAGTTAACACCTCATCTGAAATCATCTACATCAACATTTAAATATCATTGTAAATGCATTCTAAATTCATATTTTCTTGAAAAATGGTATCAAAAGAAGGAAGAATTAAGTAATTGTGGGAAATTGGACACCTATTGCACAATTAAACAGAACTTTGGACTAGAACCTTATTTATTAATTTTAAGAAAGTTTGAAAAAAGAAAGATTCTAACAAAATTTAGAATATCTTCTCACAATCTGATGATTGAAAAAGGTAGACATTACGGTATTCCAAGAGAAGAGAGAATATGCCCCAATTGTAAAATAGAAGAGATAGAAGATGAAGTACATTTTCTTTTAAGTTGTCCATGCCATAGTCAATCAAGAATAAATTTACTATCCATGATATCTATGAGGTGTCATCTTTTAAAAGCTTGTCAAAAAATGACCAATTTTTATGGTTAATGAACTGTGAAGATGTTGATGTGCTGTTCAAATTGTGTGAATTCATAATCATGTATAGTTTGACAAATTCAAAATCATTTGAAGTACCTTAGTTGGATAATTATGCTACACTATGTAAAGGTGTTGTTGATATGTGTGTTGTATTATATACTCTACATTGAACAGAAGTGGATAACTTTAATACATGTATAATAACTATATACTATCCTTCAGCACTGACTCTTGCTGTCCATTGTAGTTTGATTTAATTAACACATGTGTCAATGTATAATTATTTATATAATATGTGTTTATTTCCATAAATTTTATGTCTGTTTATTCTACATGAGGCAGAAGTGGAATTCTGTATATCCTTTAGCACCGACTCTTGCTGCCTCCTGTTGATTTTTCAAAAATATTTTTATGTTTATTTATATTTATATATTTACATATATATGTATATCATGAATAATACTTATGCACATTTTTTTTTTTTTTTTTTTTTTTTTGTACAACAACCCGTCATGTATGTCTATATATGAAACTTAAAAATGCCACCAACATATATATCAGTATATATATATATACTTAATAGAAGAATTGCTCTTCACCACATGTTGTATTCTGTCTATTACTTTATTATGTTTATATGTAATTATATATGTTATATGTTTATGCCTAATGGGCCCTGATTGGTAATAAATTCTATTCTATTCTATTCTATTGTAAAGAGCCTACAAACACATAATTATAAGTATACATTCAAGTTTTTATCTTGAACACAAGATGCTTCCTTAAAGATACAACATGTATATCATGTATATACAGAAGATTTTGTATGGATATAATGAAGCTTGGTTGTAATAATGTGAGAAGTAGCAGCAGGAGAAATTCTCAGTAAGCCTTTTACTATTTACAAACCTGGATTGAACTTTTCAAAATGTCTAGACTTGATGCTATTTGATTTGTTGAATATCAGATTACTTGCACATTTGTTAATAGACTTAAATGTAAAATTGAAGCAAAATCTTTCGAAATATTTTGCTAAGATTGAAACTGTTCCAGGAGATTACATTACCTGATTATTGGTGTGAAAATCTGCAAGTTTTAATAATTATAAATACATGAATTTTACAACAATATAGATGTAGGTTTTCAGGATATTGTTTTCTTAGCATGGAAGTGCCTTAAAATGACTACATGTACAGTGAAAACTGTCTAGTCTGACACTTGGACAATCTGTTTCCCTGTGAATTCTGAACTTCATTTTGATTCCCATTTGACTTTCTGTTTAAATATTTTCACACTGTGTAATCTGATACCCTGTGTATTCCCCCATCAAAAAAAAAAGTCTCTCCTTGCATGTGGAATAAGAGAGGCTTTACTGTATTTTGATTTTTTTTTGCAGGCTCTTGTCACATGTAGATGACCCTACCCTGGATGATGGCACCCCCAGGGAATATGTCCTCTATCTGTGTCCTAACGGTAAAATGCAGGACGAACTCAACAAATTCTGGGAGAAGAGCCTCACCCACTGTGGATGGAACGGGGCGCATTCCTACTTCCCTCACATTACCATGTGTCCATTCTTCACAGTGAGTTCAGTGGATCAAATTTTACAGGCTTATAGTTTAAAGAATGTATAGAAAAATATTCTATAAGTAATCAGACAGGATTTTTTTATGGCAAATTTGGTATAACTTGCCATTTTGGGATTCAATTATTTGAGATCTTGAAAAAGACACCTTTGCAGCTCTGCTGTCTTTGAATGCATAAGAGAATTTTCTATACAAGAAATATCTTTTGATTCAGTAAAACTTTGTATCAAGGTTGATTTTTAAGAAATTTTTAGGTTGATGACAAAGATGTAGGATTTTTGAGTGAGAGCTTTGTAAAGCTAGAGAACAAACTCAGACGGGCCCCAGATACTCTGAAGCTCGATTTCTTTAGTCAGATGAATTTTATTGGATTATTTGTGAAGGATACCATGTATGAATTCCTACAAGAATGTGTCTCAATGTTCAGCAAAGAATTAGCCAAAGGAGGTAATACACTGATGTATTAAACATTGCTACATTTAATAAAAAATACAGTCAAACCTGTCATAGCAACCACCTGTGTTTTATGACTTCCTGTCATAAATGTATGGGGCCTTTAAATTTCCCTCCAAGATTTTCTATCAATATTGAACTGATTTAGTTGTCTCCCTGTCCTACATGACATATAACCCTCAGTTTCAACCCTCGATCAATTTCTAACCTAAAAATAAGTGACTTTCAGCCTTGCTTGTCACGTGACCATTTTAGAACCTGCATTGATGGGTCATCTAAAACAGGTTTGACTGTTGCCAGGTTACATTGTATGCTTGCTCAAGAGTCCAGGACAGTTTATAATTACTGAGACACTTCATGTAAATGTATTTCTGTTTATAACTGAAATACATCATTTACTGGCACATAAAAGCAGGAACACCACTTTTATATTGATAAATGCATTTAGATAGTTGAAGTGGTTATATATAGTAAATACTTGTAGTATTTTTGTATGCTGAGTAAATAGCTGGTACCAAAATACAGAGGAAAACCTGGTGATAAAAAAATTAAACATTTCCAGTTAGAAAGTAGGAAAATGACAAGTTGCACTTTTATGAATTTTTATGTAAATATGTGAAAATTGGTACAAAAAATTGCTTTTGCGATAAGATTTTTGTATACTTTCTAAACATACGAGGGGTGTTAGAAAAGTTCGCGGACAAGTTTTATTGTGAGCGCGCTATTTCCACGAAACCGGTCAAACTTTGCAGATAAAATCTTTACCTTTTCTCCAATTAATATACAAGAATTTGGTGCTCTCCGATGATTATTGAAAAATATACAGCTTTTTCTTTTTGATAAATCTTGCTTCACGGAGCATGCTACATTTTGGCACGTTTACATCACAAAGACTCTTCATTAAAATTAAAAATTGCACAATTGTACCGCAAAGAGTTTTCTGATATTTTACCTGCCGCTATAGTATTCATGAAACGTCACTGGGAGAAATTTTGAACTAAATTGGAGGGTATATGACTGTTTTATAGCCGTTTTTAACTGATCAACGTTTAAAAACACAGCCAAAAATCGGAACGTCATTTAGCGTCATGGAGCACTGCACTATGTAAAAATTATGTATGCAGACTGGAAAATGTCTAAAAAGAGATTAAAATGTTCAAGATGCTGCCGGGAATATCCTACACCTACAAAGGACAAGTTTTCAAATGGTTGTAGCTTCATAAGAATGGAAGGATTAACATTTTGAATGATTACCTCCATCGATACTTCAATACCCCCGTATCGCATGGACGTTGCGTTGCGCCTATATGGTTTTGCATAGTTTCCATACCTGATCGATTAACTGCATAGACTTTTTTAAAGATCTCAATAATATCCGAATCAGTACAAAAGACATTATATAAAAGAAAAGTAATATGTCTTGATATAGATATTCAATTTTAAAGTAGAAAATAGATAAGAAAAATCTGAAGAAATGAAAGATTTATAGAACACTGCGACAAAACTTTACCGGTTGAAATCTGGTTGTCACGGGTTGAAATCTGGTTGTCACGTCGCCTTTCAAGTGATTGCTCCGTGAATCCCATGACCTCATAGTAAAAATCGTTGTAAATTTTCAAGATTTTATTATATGAACCTGATTTTTTACATACCAATAAACAAAATGTAGAAATTTATTCAGACATAGGTCATACTTCACAGTACAAAATAGATTTTCCGTAATTCAAAGTGTCCGCGAACTTTTCTAACGACCCTCGTATATGAAGATTAAAGGCAGAGCATCTTCTCTCAAATAACACATTATTGCTTGTGAAACTTCCATTATGCATTCACTTACTCACCCACCCACACACAAACACACTTTTATATTCCTTTCAACTTCAGTGCAGAGTGATAAAAAAATCTTCCTGGAATATATGCAATAGATTGGTCCTGTAGATAATTTGTTATAAAAATTGTCAATAACTGGTAAAGACAGATGTTTCCCTTGTTAGTACCTAATCATAGCTTGGTTGAGAGAAATAAATTATTCTGAGTAATCTTTGATGTACTAAAATTAGGTACCCTTAAATTATATAAGATGCTTAAATACTGACTGCTGAAAATTACGTAAACTGACAGAAGAAGTGTTTTCACTTTGAAAAGATACACATTCTCAAGATATACAGTTAGACCTTGTTATATCAATAGGATGAACATGAAACTGTATATTAATACTTAATTTCAAATTCATCTTTGTATAAATCAAGCAAAGCTATTTACCAGACTAACATTATAATTGTATCATTCATAGATTTAATATTTATTTTTGAAGTCATCGAAACAATTTAAAATAAAATTCATTTTTCTTTTAAGGGGTCAAAGTTGAGCCCCACAAGAAACAGCTTCACTTGACCCTGGCATACCAGTACCCACCAGAACAGCACGACAAGCTCCTGAAATACGCCAAAGAAATAGACCTGGGGGTGGACGTTAGATGGGACCTCAGACTGTATTCCAGGGATCCCAGGGCGGGCAGAAGTGAGGTATTTATATACTCTAAATGGTGCCATTTTCAAACTCTTAGGAGGTCAGTTTTGGATCTTGTGCTCAAGGTTCAAGGTAAACTTTCCAAAAATGCAGGTCAAGGTCATGTTGTTTTTTTAGCTCACCTGAGCTGAAAGCTCAAGTGAGCTTTTCTGATCACATTTTGTCCGTCGTCTGTCTGTCCGTCTGTCTGTCTGGCTGTCTGTCTGTCCGTCTGTAAACTTTTCACATTTTCGACTTCTTCTCAAGAACCACTGGGCCAATTTCAACCAAACTTGCCACAAAGCATCCTTGGGTGAAGGGGATTCAAATTTGTTCAAATGAAGGGCCACGCCCTCATTCAAGGGGAGATAATTGGGAATAAATGAAAATTTGGTGGTATGTTTTAAAAATCTTCTTCTCAAGAAGCACTGTGCCAGGAAAGATGAAACTTATGTGGAAACATCCTCAGGTAGTGTAGATTCAAGTTTGTTCAAATCATGACCCCCGGGGGTAGGGCGGGGCCAAAATGGCCGACCAAAGTTTTACATAGAAATATATAGGAAAATTCTTTAAAAATCTTCTTCTCAAGAATAGCCAAGCCATAAATGATCATATTTATTCTGAAGCATCCTCAGGTAGTGTAGATTCAAGTTTGTTAAAATCATGACCCCCGGGGGTAGGGCGGGGCCAGAATGGCCGACCAAAGTTTTACATAGAAATATATAGGAAAATTCTTAAAAAATTTTCTTCTCAAGAATAGCCAAGCCATAATTGATCATATTTATACTGAAGCATCCTCAGGTAGTGTAGATTCAAGTTTGTTAAAATCATGACCCCCGGGGGTAGGGCGGGGCCAGAATGGCCGACCAAAGTTTCACATAGAAATATATAGGAAAATTCTTAAAAAATCTTCTTCTCAAGAATAGCCAAGCCATAATTAATCATATTTATATTGAAGCATCATCAGATTGTGTAGATTCAAATTTATTAAAATCATGACCCCCGGGGGTAGGGCGGGGCCAAAATGGCCGACCAAAGTTTTACATAGAAATATATAGGAAAATTCTTAAAAAATATTCTTCTCAAGAATAACCAAGCCATAATTGATCATATTTATACTGAAGCATCCTCAGGTAGTGTAGATTCAAATTTGTTCAAATCATGACCCCCGGGGGTAGGGCGGGGCCAGAATGGCCGACCAAAGTTTCACATAGAAATATATAGGAAAATTCTTAAAAAATCTTCTTCTAAAGAATAGCCAAGCCATAAATGATCATATTTATACTGAAGCATCCTCAGGTAGTGTAGATTCAAGTTTGTTAAAATCATGACTCCCGGGGGAAGGCGGGGCCAAAATGGCCGACCAAAGTTTTACATAGAAATATATAGGAAAATTCTTAAAAAATATTCTTCTCAAGAATAACCAAGCCATAATTGATCATATTTATACTGAAGCATCCTCAGGTAGTGTAGATTCAAATTTGTTCAAATCATGACCCCCGGGGGTAGGGCGGGGCCAGAATGGCCGACCAAAGTTTCACATAGAAATATATAGGAAAATTCTTAAAAAATCTTCTTCTAAAGAATAGCCAAGCCATAAATGATCATATTTATACTGAAGCATCCTCAGGTAGTGTAGATTCAAGTTTGTTAAAATCATGACTCCCGGGGGAAGGCGGGGCCAAAATGGCCGACCAAAGTTTTACATAGAAATATATAGGAAAATTCTTTAAAAATCCTCTCAAGAATGTCAAAGCCATAATTGATCATATTTATATGGAAGCATCATCAGGCAGTGTAGATTCAATTTTGTTCAAATCATGACCTCTGGGGGAAGGGCGGGGCCACAATGGCCGACCAAAGTTTTTATTAGAAATATATAGGAAAATTCTTTGAAAATCTTCTTGTCAAGAATAGTAAAGCCATGATGGGTCATGGGACTACTTTTTGATTTAAACTTTTTAATAATAAACCAATTTCTACTTTTTCCTAGCCACAGTGTTCAGGTGAGCGATGTGGTCCATGGGCCTCTTGTTTACAGAGAGCAACAGGGGCTCGTAACATAAAGGTTGCTAAGTTTTTGACTTAATTAAGTAGGGTCGTAAGTACGGTTTAGGTATAATCTTAGGACCTGCCTAAGTACTACTAAATAAGTATGTCTTAAACCGTAACATAAAGCGAGCTAAGCTAGGTCATAGCTAAGTCAAACTTATGTTAAAAATATTTCATATGAGTCAACGTATGGTTTTTAATTTTTAGGTCACCTGAGTAAACTCAGATGACCTATTGCTATCCGTTTTCGTCCGTCGTCGTGCGTCGTGCGTTGTGCGTTGTGCGTCGTGCGTTAACATTTGAACATTTTCAGCTTCTTCTCTGCAACCACTGAACCAATTTCAACCAAATTTGGCACAAAGCATCTATGGGTGAAGGGGAACAAAAATTGTGAATTTCATGATCCCTGCCCCCCAGGGGCCTGAGGGGTGGGGCCAAAACCACTAAAATTAATGCAATCTTTAAAAATCTTCTTCTTTACTCCTGGGCACCAAGCAGTCAAACTGTATGCATAATTGTAATCAGCAATGAGTCCTCTACCAAAATTGTGAAATTCATGGCCCTGGTGTCAGGGGTTCTAGTGCTAGGGCGGGGCTAAATAAGTAGGTAGTGAAAATGCATTATTTCTTTGAAAATCTTCTTCTCTGCTCCTGGGTATTAAATAAAGTAACTAAGTACATAGTTATGATGAGCAAGAGTGCCTCTACCAAAATTGTGAATTTTATGGCCCCAGGGTCAGGGGTTTTGGTGTTAGGGCGGGGCTCTATTGATTATATAGTGAAAATACATGAATTCTTTGAAAATCTTCTTCTCTGCTCCTGGGTATTAAATAAACTAACTAAGTGCCTAGCTATGGTGAGCAAGAGTGCCTCTACCAAAATTATCAATTTTATGGCCCCAGGGTTAGGGGTTCTGGTTTTAGGGCGGGGCTCTATTGATTATATAGTGAAAATATATGAATTCTTTGAAAATCTTCTTCTCTGCTCCTGGGTATTAAATAAACTAACTAAGTGCATAGTTATGATGAACAAGAGTGCCTCAACCAAAATTGTGAATTTTATGGCCCCAGAGTCAGGGATTCTGGTGTTAGGGGTGGGGCTCTATTGATTATATAGAAAAAATACAGGAATTCTTTGAAAATCTTCTTCATTGCTCCTGGGTATTAAATAAACTAACTAAGTGCATAGTTACGATGAGCAAGAGTGCCTCTACCAAAATTATGAATTTTATGGCCCCAGAGTCAGGGGTTTTGGTGTTAGGGCGGGGCTCTATAGATTATATAGTGAAAATTCATTTAATCTTTAAAATTTTCTTCTCTGCTCTAGGGTATTAAGCAGATGAACTACCTATATAGTTATGATCTACAAGGGCCCTAATCTTCCAGAATTGTGAATTTCAAGGCCCCAGGGTCAGGGTTACCATGGGGGGTGTACTTATATACTGAAAATGAATGAATGGTTTGAAATCTGCTCCTTGGTATTAATCAAATATCAAGGCCTAAGGGTCAGGGGTTCATGTGTGGTAGGGGCACTACTGATTATTGCTGAATATAACTGATTAGTTGAAATGCATTTTTTGTTCCCCTACCTTGTGTATGGGTATTAAGTAAACAAACTAAGCAATTGCTAAGTGTATTGTTATGATGAATTAAATTTAATCACTGGAAAGTTGTTGCATAATGCTCAGGTGACCTATAAGGCCCATGGGCCTCTTGTATATAGATATATTGCTAAAAGTGATTCAGTTAAGGTTTTAATAAATTATACATATTAAAGTTGACGTCCTTGTCTATCGGTTTAAGTTATGTTAGATTAGATTTTGTATTAAAATTATAATTATGTTATAAATTATTCGGAACGTTTGGAAACAAATACCGCACGGTCAGAAAGTGGCGATTTGTGGTTCATTGTAAATATACGACAATTGTTTTATCACCTGAGTTGTTTTCATGCAGTTTACATGTTTTGACAAATGTTCACTTACCCTGTTATTATCGCAGACAAGAAAAGATAATCGACCATCTATCTACTTAAAATTGAAACTCTAAAAAGAACAATGCATGTTGAATTCCCGCTATGTATCAGGCCATGCATGTCAAAAGGAAAAACTGCAGAAGTTTATGATATACTTGTTTGCAATTTAATCAAGGATACAAAATAACAAGAGGCCCACGGGCCTTATAGGTCACCTGAGCATTATGCAACAATTTTCCAGTTATTGAATTTGATTCATGTTTTAAGCCAGATGCTATATGACATTCACAATTTTGAAAGAGGCACCATTGATCATCATAACAATACACTTAGCAGTTGCTTAGCTTGGTTACTGAATACCCATATGCAGGGTAGGGGAACAAAAATGCATTCCAACTAACCAGTAGTGCCCCTAACACTGTGACATAAACCCCTGACCATAGGTCCACACATTGCACAAATTTCAAAAAGGCACCCTTAATATCAAAAAATAAATAAATGTTTTATAAATACAAAAGAGCAAATTTCAAACAATAAATTCATTTTCAGTATATAAGTAGAGCCCCCACCCCACCCCTGACCCTGGGGCTTTGAAATTCACAATTCTGCAAGATTAGGGCCCTTGCTCATCATAACTATAAAGGTAGTTCATCTGCTTTATACCCAGAGACAAAGAAAAAAATTTTCAAAGATTTAATGTATTTTCATTAATATAATCAACTGAGCCCCGCCCCCTAACACCAGAACCCCTGACCCTGGGGCCATAAAATTAATAATTTTAAAAGAGGCATTCTTGCTCATCATAACTATGTACTTAGTTTATTTAATTCCTAGGAGCAGAGAAGAAGATTTTCAAAGAATTCATGTATTTTCAATATATAATCAATAGAGCCCTGTCCAAACACCAGAAACCCTAACCCTGGGACCATAAAATTCACAATTTTGGTAAAAGCACTCTTGCTCATCATAACTATGTACTTAGTTAGTTTATTTAATACCTAGGAGCAGAGAAGAAGATTTTCAAAGAATTCATGTATTTTTACTATATATAATCTATAGAGCCCCGCCCTAACACCAGAACCCTTGAGCCATAAAATTCACAATTTTGGTTGAGGCACTCTTGCTCATCATAACTATGCACTTAGTTGGTTTATTTAATACCTAGGAGCAGAGTAGAAGATTTTCAAAGAATTCATGTATTTTCGCTATATAATCAATAGAGCCCCCCCCCTCCCTAACACCTGAACCCTTGACCCTGGGGCCATAAAATTCACAATTTTGGTAGAGGCACTCATGCTCATCATTACTATGCACTTAGTTAGTATATTTAATACCCAGGGGCAGAGAAGAAGATTTTCAAAGAAATCATGTATTTTCACTATATATAATCAATAGAGCCCCGCCCTAACACCAGAACCCCTGACCCTGGGGCCATAAAATTCACAATTTTGGTAGAGGCACTCATGCTCATCATAACTATGCACTTAGTTAGTATATTTAATACCCAGGGGCAGAGAAGAAGATTTTCAAAGAAATCATGTATTTTCACTATATATAATCAATAGAGCCCCGCCCTAACACCAGAACCCCTGACCCTGGGGCCATAAAATTCACAATTTTGGTAGAGGCACTCTTGCTCATCATAACTATGTACTTAGTTGGTTTATTTAATACCCAGGAGTAGAGAAGAAGATTTCCAAAGAAATAATGCATTTTCACTATATACTTAATATTTAGCCCCGCCCTAGCACTAGAACCCCTGACCCCAGGGCCATGAATTTCACAATTTTGGCAAAGGACTCAATGCTGATTACAATCATGCAAACAATTTGACTGCTTGATGTCCAGGAGTAAAGAAGAAGATTTTTAAAGATTGCATTCATTTTAGTGGTTTTGGCCCCACCCCTCAGGCCCCTGGGGGGCAGGGATCATGAAATTCACAATTTTTGTTCCCCTTCACCCATAGATGCTTTGTGCCAAATTTGGTTGAAATTGGTTCAGTGGTTGCAGAGAAGAAGCTGAAAATGTTCAAATGTTAACACACGACGAACGACGGACGACGACGGACGAAAACGGATAGCAATAGGTCACCTGAGTTTACTCAGGTGACCTAAAAATCAGGATATTTTTTCGTATGTCTCCACTTATCAGCAATTCTTTCTCTCTCTCTCTCTCTCTCTCTCGAACTGTATAGTAGTGAGCCCTGTCTAAATCTGCACTTGTCGCGCTCTACATTTATTCTATACTTTACAGATACTTTTTAAAATATTACTTTACTGTCATCATCCTCTTTCTTTTCTGTTTTTAACGCATTATTTCAACTCATATTTTTGAAATGAACATACAGATCCATGGTTTATTACTATATTCAATTTATTTCTATAACCGAGGTCCCACTAATTTCAGACGTATTCCTAAAATTAAATATTGTATTTACATGTATGCTGTGTTGGGAGTGATACTGGAATCAGTGATCAGCCCCCCCCCCCCCAAGCGAAAAAAATAAAATTCTTAAATCAGCGTCAAATGGAGATATTTATTTTCTTTAATGCATAATATGAATAGAAGAATGTTTTAACATAGAAAGTCAACATTGAATAATTCTAGATATATGTACAAGAAAGTTCAGACATACTTAAGTCACCTCTACAGGCCGCTTAAGTTTTGCTAACATTGCCAAATCTTAGCACGCTTCTAGTTATGGTCTTAAGTTTTATACTGTATTTAAGTCCAACTTAAGCACAGTCTTAGACTTAAGTAGCCTTTATGTTACGACTCCCAGGTCATTATATAGTATATACATAATTGTTTTTAACAAAAAAGTTTATCATTGCTTTGAAGATACAGGGGAGAAAAACCACTTCACTTTAAGCACAAATTTATCTCAAGCATGTTTCTTTGTAATACAGTGGAAACAATGTAGTTTAGTTATCTGTATTTAAAGAAGTCTACAGGTTCTCCTTATAAACAGGGTTTTTTTAACCTCTGTCTCTACCATTTTGAATTTTCTGTTAATGAATTCATTTAAATGATGTTTCCAGATCCGTCGAGTGGTAAAGGCCTACACACCACAAGTTGGGGATGAGCTGGAACTCATTGATGGAGATTTCATTTTCCTGGATCCAAAAGAACTCACTAAAACCAAAGATGGCTGGTATCCCGGGATCTCCTGGCTGACCGGGATTTTGGGAATGTTCCCCGGAGTCTACACACAGAAAACAGCTGAGACATGGACCTGGATGCTTCATAGGTCAGTATTGGAAACATCATGGGGTGATAAAAATGTGCTCATGTAGAAATATCTTGTATTAATTACCGGTAAAGGCTATTTTCTATCAGCTGTGGCGGATTTAAGGGGGGGCGCACCCGGCGTGCTTCCCCCTAAAATTGTCAAAGTTGACATAAGTCAAATATGTCTACTTGGTAGACCTCATTTTTACCCTACAAAATCTCTTGAATCCAGGAGCTAAAAGGGGGTTTCGTATGCTGGGCCCCAACCAGGGCTTTGCCCTGACCCACGGGGGGCCTAAAGGCGGCCCCCAGACCCCTTGCCTAATTTTGGCGCCCACTCTAACTCCAAATCCTGGATCCGCGCCTGATCAGTTTAGGGAAAAGGGAAAAAAATTCGAATTCAGAAAGGATGAAGACATTTATATTCATGTATTGATATAGCTGCAATAATGTACAGTGGACCCTCATTTATCCGGACGCTTTGGTTCCCAGTCAATTTGTCCGGATATGTGAAGCATCCGGATATCTGAATCACCAGTTAAACAAGACAAAAGAACTTTTAAAAATTCCGCCCCGATAAAAAATCGTCTGGATACTGAAACATCCAGATATCTAGCGTCCGGATATCTGAAGGTCCACTGTAGCCCTCTCCGATTTTTTTTTTTTTTTTTTTTTTTACATCAGATAAAAAAAAATCGGAGAGGGCTACATTATTGCAGCTAGTATTGATATATTGTTTGAATAATTTTGATGGACATGTACACTAGTACACTACAGTCAAAACCATCTCCATACTTACCACAAGTCTGTGATGTGAAATTTGACTGTGCTTTAACACAGGTAGCATATTGTTATATTTTCCGTAGATCTCTACCACTGCATGTAAGACCCAAGTCAGTAGCTGTGACCAATGGAATTATTGTAGAGGAAGATTATGATGCAATCTGGCATGATGATAAGGATTATGCCAAGGTAAAATACTGTCTATTTCATGTTTCATTGTAAAAGACAAAAACAAGTCATGATTTGTACAATAAGATACAAGTAGTGAATTTATGAATTTAGGTCAACAAAAACTTCGTTAAGGAGAAGAAGCAAAGCCTGCCTTCTGTGGAAAAAAGGGAACAGAGAAGATTGATTATATGTCGCCATGGCGAGAGGACAGACTTTGCTATGGGGAAAGGGTGGTACGACATGTGCTTTGATGATGATGGTGAGATGTTTTTTATGATTATTTTCCTTTGATGCATTGTCTTTCTTCTCTATGTCAAGTTTGTTAAAATTATAGTTTTTAGCTCTTCTGAGCCAAAGGCTCAAAGAGCTAATGCTATGGCCATTTGTGCGGTGTGCGTCGTGCGGTGTGCGTTAACTTTTTAGAATATGGGCCATAACTCAAGAACCCCTTGGCCAATCAGTGTCAAATTTGTCACAGGGTATCATTGGCCCAAGGGCTACCATTTATACTAAAATAAGGGTTGGGACCCTAAAACAAGGGGAGATAATCAGGAAAACAAAACCAAAAGTACTGGTTGCAAAAAAAATCTTCTTCTCCAGAACCACCAGGCAGATTTTTACCAAACTTACATACAATGATCAGGATATGTTGAAGATTAAAAATTGTTCAAGGCATGACCCTGGGGCAAAGGGTGTGGTCTCAAGGTCACTTCAAAGTTGACCTAAATTTACAATTAATGAAAATGTCTATATTTTGCTTACTATAAGGACTAGGATCATCAAATCTTGTAAGTAGATGCATCTTAGGACTTAACATCATGTTAACTCAAAAGTAGGTCACGGTGACCTACTTTTTTAATTTTGCGGGCATTTGTTTTCAAATTGATTTGAAGGCATATTTATGACACTTTAAGGCCTATGATCATCAAACTTTGTCAGTTGATGCATCTTGGGTCCTTGAACAACGTCAACTTAAAAGTAGGTCACCGTGACCTACATTTTGAACTTTATGACTTATCCTTTTTAAAACATTTCATCCCATTATTTCAGACACTGAGAGGGTTAGAATCATCAAATCTTGTAAGTTGCTGCATCTTGGGACCTTAAAACATATTTAAGTAAAAGTAGGTCACTGTGACCTACTTTAGAATTTTGCAGGCATTTGATTTCAAATTGTTTAAAAGGCATATTTTGATTACCTTCAGACCAATGATCATCAAACTTGGTCAGCTGATGCATCTTGGGACTCTGAAAAATGTAAACCAAAATGTAGGTCACTGTGACCTCTTTTCGACATTTTATGGCTATATTTCAGTATATTAGGTATTTATTGGCTTAGAATCATCAAACTTTGTGAGTTGATGCATCTTGGGTTTTCCGAGAGTGACGACCAAAAATTAGGTCACGGTGACCTACTTTCAATATTTTATGGCTATATTTGTGTATCTCCAGTACTTATCCGCTTAGAATCATCAAACTTTGTCAGTTGATGCATCTTAGGTTTTCGGAGAATGTCGACCAAAAAGTAGGTCATGGTGACCTACTTTTGACATTTAATGGCTATATTTATGTATTTCTGGTACTTACTGGTTTAGAATCATCAAACTTTGTTAGTTTATGCCTCTTTGGTTTTCAGAGAATGTCGACCAAAAAGTAGGTCACAGTGACCTACTTTCGAATATCTTAGGTATTTATTGGCTTAGAATTATCACACTTGGTCAGCAGATGCATCTTAGGCCTCTGATAAATGTAAACCAAAATGTAGGTCATGATGACCTACTTTTATCATTTAATGACTATATTTAAGTATCTCCAGTACTAATCGGCTTAGAATCATCAAACTTTGTTATAGTTTATGCCTCTTGGGTTTTCAGAGAATGTCAACCAAAAAGTAGGTCACAGTGACCTACTTTCGAATATCTTAGGTATTTATTGGCTTAGAATTATCAAACTTGGTCAGCAGATGCATCTTAGGCCTCTGATAAATGTAAACCAAAATGTAGGTCATGATGACCAACTTTTATCATTTAATGACCATATTTAAATGTAGGTCACGATGACCTACTTTTATCATTTAATGACTATATTTAAGTATCTCCAGTACTAATCGGCTTAGAATCATCAAACTTTGTCAGTTGATGCATCTTGGGTTTTCGGAGAATGTCTACCAAAAAGTAGGTCACGATGACCTACTTTTGACATTTTATGGCTATATTTAAGTATCTCCAGTACTTATTGGCTTAGAATCATCAAACTTTGTTAGTTTATGCCTCTTGGGTTTTCAGAGAATGTCGACCAAAAAGTAGGTCACGGTGACATACTTTTGACTATCTCAGGTATTTATTGGCTTAGAATCATCAAACTTTGTCAGTTGATGCATCTTGGGTTTTCCAAGAATGTAGACCAAAAAGTAGGTCAAGGTGACCTACTTTTGAATATCTCAAATACATACTGGCTTAGAATCTTCAATCTTAGTTTGTCTATTAATGCATCTTGAGTCCTCAGAAAACTTCAATCTTAAAGTAGGTCACCGTGACCTACTCATGGTTTTTTTTATAGCTTTATTAAAATATCTTCAGTCCTAATTGGCTAAGAATCATCAAACTTTTTATCAGTTGATGCAACTTAGGTTTTAGGATACTTAGGGTTAGAGGCTTCAAATACAAGTGATAGGTTGTACGATTTATCAGAAGAGCGATTCAAGGCCCTTGGGCCTCTTGTTTAAATACCACATTGGAATTGAAAGTGCAAAGTTTTGTCCAAGATCAGTAAAAGAAATCATTCATAATTAGGGCCCTGAATGAAATGCAGTAGTTCTATAGGCATCATATTGGCCATCTGTCTGTTCATCAACTCTTTTTTGTGATGTAATAACTGAAAATGAAACCTTTTTAAACTTTGTACATAAATATTTTACTGCAAAGTCAAATTAATTAAAAATAAGCCTTAGGTAATCTTACCAAGCAATAAATTTCATGTACAAAAAGCATGCAGGGACAATTAAGAGTTGTAGGGATTTCAAACAATAATATATTTATTCTAATTTTGCAGGTAGATATTCCAGAATTAACTTGAATTTGCCAAAGAAGATGTTAACACGGTCTAATAACCTGGAGTACATAAACGACCCTCCTCTGACAGAAGTAGGAAAGTTACAAGCACAGCTAACAGGTAAATTTAAAATACTCCTGGTAGCAAAAAAGCACAGTTTCTACAATAACTGCTATATGTTTCATCACTCCAACACAGTGAGTCCTTTTTAGGTTCCAAAACATTGTTGGGGACCCTTAGTGAGCATTTGGTTGATTACCATGATAAATGAAGTATTTGATAGATTGCCATTTTGAGAAAACCAAGTGAGACAGACTGACACACAGATGGACAGACAGACTCAGAGAAAACCTATAGTCTCCTCTGGTTTCACTGAAAGAGGACAAATAATCTAACAAAACTTTGGAAAAAAGGTTTTTGCAATGGAAAGAAAGCTTTTATTGGAAATATGAAACTTATTGAATTTGGTTCATCATATCAAGAGAAACTCTAAATATTCAGGTTATTTTTAATTAATCAAGGATATTTGCATCTAAGTGTTTTGTAAACATTAACTTCACAGGCATGGAAAGCAAATTGAAAGGGGAATTGAAACCAACAAAAAAGGGGGGTAAACTCTAATTTTCAATGCCTATATATTGCCTATCTTTCCAAAAAAAGGTGATTATTAAAGATTAGGGATCAAACATCCGAGTATCGAATACTAAAACTGGTACTCGGTTACTTGCATGTGTATTTTTTCTTATTTCAAAGTACATATTTTTTTTATCGAAAACTTATCAAAAATAACTTGAATATGCATACGTTATCATCATCAACACCTGTAAACACCTGTTATTGCCTTTGGATGTGTATACAGTAATTATAATGACCAATTACCTGGTACATGCAAAAATGTTCTCCCCAGCCTTTGTCCTTAAGTTAAATTACAATAGCTTAATAAAATTCTGTTGATTTGTTTTAGTGAACATTGTTTAAGTAAGGTCTGTTATATCCAAATAATTTTTAAACTGATATTTATTTAGTATACGGTAGCGAAATCGGACATGCATAGAAATGCTGCTACCAACTTCAAAAGTGAAGAAATATTTTGAGATAACTAAAGATTGGAAAAAAGAAAGGTCAAAGTCAGTTTGTGCATAGTAAGTTTAGTATATATGGGGAAAACCAATCAACGTATGAAATAATACATGTATTAGACTTAGCAATCTCAACAACATCTGTTCCTTCTCTTTTGCAAGTGTAATTATAACAAACATGGGTAAAAGATTTCCTAGCTCCTTTTGCATTGATCAAGTAGATCCGAAACAAGAACTGTCATTATAATATTGTTCATTAATGTATAATGTGTACATCATTTCCCTAATTTTATGTGCCGTTATAAACTTGATCTAATAGTTCAATAATAAGATCAAATTGTTTTGATTAGTTTTCACAATTTATAATACTAGTAATTGATTGCTTTGATTGCCAGGGGGTATACAAGTTGAGAAGACCTTGGTTATAATAATTTATTACCTAATTTATTAATTTAACGAGATGCCTCCACAGATATACTAAGCTTGGGAGTAATTTAAAATAACAGCTGATTCAAAATCTATTTTATACAAGAGGCCCATGGGCCTTATAGGTCACCTGAGCATTCTGCAACAACTTTCCAGTTATTGAATTTGATTCATGTTTCACGAATCACGACGACAGACGATAACAATTAATAGGTCACCTGAGTTTACTCAGGTTCACATACAGTATTTATGTTTTACTACTAACGATTAGAAAATAAGATAAATAATATATACTCATCCAAGTAACCATCTCCCAATCGGAAGAACCAGTTACTAAAAATCGTACAACTTGCCAACACTAGTCTATTTATGTGATAAATAAATTAAGTATTACGTTGCAACTCAATGTTTATATATAAACATTCCTGAACATGATAAAAACAGTTTTGGAATTTAACAGAGATATACGGGACTCAAAATCAACACACTTGTATTTACATTTTACCCAGTACATGGGTAATGGATCGGAAAAACATCCGAGTAATCATTTATCAAAAATTGACTGATTTCCCTATTGAATACGTAAGACTTCAAAGTGCAATGGTGAGGCCAAAGTCCGATGTTCTCACCAAACTATGATGGCCATGGGGGTTCGGGCCAAACTATCGGGTTTGTGAGACCATCGGACTTTGGCTGTCTCTACAGATGCCAAAGTCCAATGGTCACGCCACAGTCCAATTGCTCGTTTCCTGTGAGACACATTATGCCAAAGTGCAATGATCTGACACGCCAAAGTCTGATGGTGCAGAGAAAAGAATTAACGTTTATGACGTCACAATAATCTGACGTCATGCCATTGTCCTGCATTCAAAATCCATTGAATCAGTATTCGCCTCGTGTACATACAATTTTACTGATTCAGCTTATTGTTTACACCCACTAGAGGTTTTTAATAGGGCTAGTCATGGCACACCACTCGACTGATAAGGGTTGTTTCTTTGAACCCACCCGAGAGATTTAAGGGTTAGCCTAGTCCTTGACTGATTTGGACTAGTCCAGCACCCACCCAACATATTTAGGTTATAGTTACTGAGTATTACGCATTTTTCGACTGATTAGGGTTAGTCTCGCACCTATATCCAAAAGATGAGGGTTAATCTTTGCATTAATATTTATTTGTATTTATTATAAACAGTACAACCTTGGCATGGCGTGGTATTGCATTTTTTTGTGCAGTATTATTATGACATCATAAACATTTTAATCGTTTTCTGCACCATGGGAATTTGGCATATAAACTACAAAATGCATTGATTGTTTTCATATAATACAGGACTTAATGCAGCGAGCTGTTGCAGAAAAAATACAAAAATACATAATTGGCATAGTAAGCAAGTTTAAAAAGTAAGTTATTCTGCAATATTTGCAAGTGTCATTTCCCATATTGACGAAGATAAATACCCGCACCTATGACTACCCAGAAGTACGTCATATTATCGATAAGTAGGTAAAATTACTCTTAAAAATTCATTGTTTTGTTGATATGTACTACATTCTAATTTCATTGGTTGAACAGAATATGCATAAGAAATTGAACTCATCATATACTAATTGATGAAAGAAGTAGATTTCAGAACGAAGTATTTCTCTGCAAATCTCAGTTCAGTTTCCTTTAATTACTTCCATATATTTAATTTTTTTTACTTGTTTATTTTCGCCTTGAGCAACAAACAAATTATCACTTGTGTCTACACACAATCCCCAGGGACCACTCACTCCACAGTTTATGTAACAGAGGAACTGCCCATACTGATCTAGGATGTGGACACGATGATTGGGCATATCAGCTATAAGGATGTGACTCTGACTGTCTGTGGTGATTCCTACTGGCATAAATGGTCGGCTGTTTGAAGCAGGAGTTTGTCCATTGTATCTAAATCTCAGTTTCCCGGCCTGATTAAACACAAGTACTTCTGCTAAGTCAGCCACACAGATATCCAGGTTCCTGTTCTCACTGATACAGTAAGGAGAAGAGATATAGAAAGGTTTGCCTTCTTCTTCAGGCTGAAGGGTTTCTTTTTCTATGGGACCAGAGTAACGGACAATCTTTGATTCTTGGTGCCAGAAATCATCAATGTTTATGACAACCAGGAGGTCACCAGTAGAGGTACTACAGATACTGCAGGGTCTTCCTTTCTTTAATGTAATCAAAGTCTCAGTCTTTATATTCTTTACAATGTTGATAGTTTTGTGAGAAGGATCAATATAAACAAGATGGCCTTGTTTTGTTACTGCTATGTTAGTTGGGACATTCCCTGACATGGTCATGATTGACTTGAGTAGAGATCCCTGACTGACACTGTAGAGGCTCATGATTTTGTCATTTCCACTTGTCCAGATTTCTTCATTACTCAGACAGGCTACACAATTTAGGTATTCCATGTACCAGTGCTTATGTACAGTATTTATGGTAGTCAGGACCTCTGGTTCATCAAGCAGCTGCTTGATTGGAGGAAAGAATCCAACATGTATAAATCTTTGTGATAAACTTCCAAACAGGCTACAAAGTTCTTCCCCTTGGATTTCCCCCGGATTAAAGCTAGGGAATGACAGTACAATTCTTTTTTGATGATTTTTATATTTGTCTACATTGAATGTAATAGTCAACAGTTCTGAAATCTGCTGGGAGTCTATCAGATCATCAATTACTGTAATTTCTTTCCTTATTTCAGAAATTTTCTTTTTAACTCCATTCAGATGTTTCTGTAGAGTTTTCAATTGTTCAGTTTTCATCTCATCAACTGCAGCTCTTAGTTTTGTTACAGTTTTGTCAATTTTTTTATGCCATTCCTCTCCATGTTTTGTTATGGCTTTTGTGAGATCTCTACATTTTTTTTCCAACTGCATTATCTTGTCTTCTACATCAGATGCACTTTCTTGGTATGTTGGAAGTATTGCATCCTTCAATTCATTTTTTTCTTTGATGATCTTTTTTTTCCTTTCATCCAGCATTTCCATGATTTTAAAAACATGATGACCCTTATGTTGATCAGATGCCATGCATATGTTGCAGACAGGCTTATCACATTGTTGACAGTACAATTCACACCTTTCTTTTTCATGAGAGGAACATTCAGAAAATGTTGGTTTTCGAAATATATATCTTATGATCTCATGTATTTTCTTGGATTCATTGGATGCCATGTGATCACCAATACAGGTATTGCAAAGTCTGACTTCACATGTATCACAGTGAACCTGTACCTTGTCAGTCTCGCACAGGTCACAAAGTCTCAACTTCTGGGCCTGAGTATATGGGTCTGTCTGGGAATAATTACATTGGTCCATACCAGAAGTTTGGGCTTTATAAAGTAAAAAAAAAGTTCATATTATTAATTTTTTTAATAACCATGCAATTGCAAAGAAATAAATGTGCATTTTTGAATACCAGATTACCAGTACGAGTCAATTGAATTATACAGAAAGCATATTCTTCACAAGACTCATCTAAAATCACAGGCACTTGTTTAGGTAATAAATTTTTAACACATAGTATAATAATCAGTGGCGGATTTAAGGGGGGGCGCACCCGGCGCGCGCCCCCCCTAAAATTGT